TTGTCACAAGCTACTAGTTGTAATGGTAATTACACGATTATTATACTATTTTTTAAAAAAATGACTGGTGGCCTTAAAGGTTTTTACTCAGGCAGAAATACTAACTTTGTAAATAACCACGTTTCTCATAATTATGTATTTACAAATTATGTTTATAGCATTTATTTCTTATCAATGAACTTTAATAATTAATATTATTTGAATCTCTTTTATTTCATTTTACATTTTCTCAAAACTTTTTACTGGCCTTAAAGTTTTTGCTCAGGCTGTATTAGGGAAATATGCTTAAGAGTAGGTATTCTTGGAGGAATTTCTTAGGCAAACTGGCTCGTATTCACAATTAAAAAATCCTCAACGAAAATTCACTTTCTTAGACAGACCTTAAGTAGTACTTCTTATGTACCCCTTAGGTACTACGCCACAATTAATCAGTTGATGAAATAGACTATAAAATTTGTAACACCACAGTAACGATTTGTACGCATGCTGATTATTTTTAAAAATTTGTTTGTATCTATCTCTATATATAAATTTCGGTTATGACGTTCGGGAAAAATGTTCGAGAAATATCCGATAAAAATCTCTACGCCATTTAAACCTCATTGTTTTGCCAGGAGCCAGTTTTTATTCTCGGATTCATACTAAAATTACGACAGTGAGTCAATTCCTGCTCTCGCATATGATATCGCTGTATCGAAGAACAAAAACAAAATCCTTTTTCTGGGAGCTATTTGAAAGAAAGTGTTTCGATTCACCTTCTGTTTTTTAGTTGCATATAAAGACAGCCTTGGAAGATATTTATAGGCATCCCGCGTGCTAAAGTGACACTAACTCTGCTGTATGTATGAGAAAATTCCGTGAGCTGGAAAGTAGAAGCATATAAAAGTTCATCCTGAGACTGCCCATATTTTTAGGTAAGTAGTCAATGCTTTCTTTTACGTTTGAATTTAAAGTAATACAGGCAAAAGTAAACTGAACTGTATAAATTATAGTGCATTTTTATCGCTTTGAAATCAGATCTAATCGATATGCATTATCTTTTATCACATTTTGCTCTTCAATATATTTGCAATGATTGAACGATGCCTCGAAAGGTGAGTTGAAATTAAAATTTATGTTATTTAGCTAGATTAACAAAATCCTAAGCTTTTTAAAAATCTGAAGAATATAACATTCAATAAAGTAGGCCGAACATTCAAGAAACAAAACATTCATTGCGATTAGAAAGGAATGTCGCAAAATGAAGTTGCGAGTGGTAAAATAATAATAGTTCATATATGAATAATTTGGTTTAGCAAGAAGCCGTTAAAATATTTTAACAGTAAATGCAACTTAAAAATGCAAGTTCACGGAATGCATTGTAAAACTTGAGCTTATTAAGGATAAGCTAAAATGTAATTAAAATATGAAAAAATTAAGTATGCTTTTAGGATATTACAATAATGAGAGATAAATAGTATTAAAGTGAGGATGCATTTGATCATATTAGGCAGATGTTGTAAATATATAATGCTATTCGCATATCTAAAAGATTTTAAGCCAGTATTTACATGCAGTTTACTAACGCAAGTTTTAATATAAAAATCCTAAACTAATGACAGAATAATATGAACTGGCTTAAATGGTTTCGGAAAACAATACTATTCAACAACATTTAGAGCAGAATTACTTTTTAAGAAATAATTTTCTCTTTTGTGTAGAACAGGTGATTAATCACTATGTATTTTCAATCGGAAACTAAAACGCTTAGTTTGATATTTACCATTTCTTACATTAGAGAAAAAATATTCTTCAAACATATAGATTCCCATGTTGTCCAGGATGGATGCTCGTGAACACTATCAGTTAGAAACACTGAACTAAAAGCATTATAAACACAAAATATATTATTCTGTATAATCATTTTAGCCTAAAACCTGATAAATGTTAAGCTGGAATTCAGAAGTTTAAATTCCCCGAGTTATAATGCTCTTAGTTTTTTCATATTTATTTCGCTATATTTATGCTTTATTACTCCACAGATCTTTATACGTAAACGCCCGTATAAGGTACTCCCATGATTACAGTAGAAAGCATTTTTTTTTATTTATCGAAATCTGGTACAGTCTACATACACAAAAATAAAATGACGCACCAAGTAGGAGTCATCCGAATGAAACAAGAGTTCGATATATGTGATTTATGTGTAAGGAAAAAGAAACGATTGAACTTTCAATCGTCTTCTTGACCTTATACAAGACCTTATTTGGTTTGGCACTGACTTGTAGAGTTGACAAATGACCTCCTCCAAGATTTTTTCCCAAAACCTCTCCTATTGTCGAATTAGATCCAGATCACCTTGTAATGGATGGATTGCCAAGAATATCAATAACATTTTTACCAAGCAAGAAGGCGACCAGGAGAAATCATATTCGTATGCCACTCGCCATCATCCATTTGATATGCAAGTCAAATGAGCATCGAAAAGAGGAGCAGTTCAGTGATAAAAGTCAGTGATAACCATGACAGTGTATCATGACTTCATGTTAGAAACGAGTGATATCTTCGCTGGCCATCATGGCTCATTTCGAAGCAGGGCTCATCGCTGAAGGCACTTCTAATTTAGTCAGTGGGTTTCCAGGTCGAACGACTTTGGCACCACTGCACCACGCTTATTGGTGTGTAAAGTAGTTCCCCTTTCTTATCGCATGACTTCGTGGTGTAATTGGAAATCATGACCAAATGGTAACGGAAGGTCCGGAGTTTGAATCTGGGAGAAGGCACTGCTAAATTTTCGTGTTTCCTACTCCAAAATAAATATAATGATTGTAAAGTTGTGCATGGATTAAATGTTGTCACAATGGATGTTGTGAGAGCCGATATCTATTCTCAGACCCTCATCTCAATGTACCTTTGCGCTACTAGTGTTCCTTTTACAAGTCGGTTCGCTCATAATGACAAATCGGGTGCTGAGGGAGCGTTAATTGACAAGCCTTTAACCTCATGTTTTGTCATTACCCTAGTTCGATTGCTGCTATCTTGACACTGCGTTCTGCTATGGTTCAAAGAGCCGTACAAACAACGTCGAATGACAGTATCACTCTAATTTGAATGTCAGGCCATCCTCGGTTTCATCTTCATGCTTCCTTTAAACCGATTTGTACATTATCTATGAGATGGTCACATGTGTCCCCTCTTTGCGCAAAATTGCTTGAAGGGCACTTGCATAGCCAAAGTGAAATGACAAAATCAAATTCGAATGGAAGTCTGCTTCAGAATTGGAATTTTTTCTCTTTTCTTATACCAACCAAAAATCATGAAGGAGAATCGTAAGTTTCTATGCTTTGTAGCTTCAGCTATTCAGACATCTGCGCTACGAAACTTTCGAAAGGTATATTCATATAAAAATTCGTTACAATAAATAAAGCTATCATGGTGTATCCTTTTTCTTTCCTCCCTATGTTTTATAAAATGCTGCATCTTAGTGTTAAATTTTCAGAGTCTAAGGTCTTGCTGATGAAGGAGGATTTCGATTGATCTCATAAAACATTCTGACACATTTTATTTTTGTGAATTCCTCTAAAGCATTGAAAGCAAACCTTTACATCATGTGTGCGAATAAAATTTTTTATTAATATTATTTTAATACGGTTTTCAGTAATAACACGTACCTTTTATTAAAACAGCTGAATTAGTTAAAAAAAAGAAAATTTTATCATGTGAGTAAAATTTTCAGTTAATGTTTGAGGCTTCGTGAGTGCATGCATAGTTAGACACTTAGCTACTTGCTCCATTTGATACATATACATGAAGAGCGGTAAAATATATGTGTTTTATTCAAATGTTTTCGTGATTTGAAATATTGCTTATAGTAACTTTATCACTGTTGTTAATTACATAATAAAAAACATAACGCTGACCAACAATACTTTATTGCTCAAACTGAGAAGAAATTTCATCATTTGAAAATTAATGGTTATTTAGAGTCTTAATTTCTAATTGCAATAGTATAACATAACATCTATAGGTATTATAAGGTATACAAGGGTCGTTACATAATAATAATTTTGTATCTTTCAAGGTAATTTATAATTATTTAAGGCAATAACATTTTGGAGTTAAAAAAAGCAGGAAAATTTTGGTTTTATATCCCACTTGCAGCTTAAGTTACATCATATTTTTTTCATTCATAATTTTTAACTGCAACATAAATGGTATTTTCCAACATAAATAATATTTTCCTTTAAATAGTTTTCGACAATCTATAATTGTTTTTAAGATAGATATGTAGTTTTAGATATATAGTATTATTTTAGTATATAGTTTTAGATATTTCGGAATAAAATCATGCATTTTAGTTGCAGGAGGTATTTTCACCTCACAAATAGCTTTCAGCTATACTTTCCAAGCAGATATATTTTAAGCTTTCAGCTATACTTTCCAAGCAGATATATTTTAGCTTTCAGCTATACTTTCCAAGCAGATATATTTTAAGCATTATATGATTATCTTAATATTAATATCAAGAAATTTGAATTTAGATATACTGTATTTCTCTGACATAGATAGATTTTCAATCATGTAACTGAAACGAAATTGCATATCTTTAGTGAATAGAAATATAATTATTATCACCAAGAAAAATATATTACCTTCACAAAATTCTTACTTTATTTGTTTCAGCTTTCTAATTATCTTTAAAACTATTTAATGAAATTTAAAACACTTTTTCAGAGAAAGGGTTTAGTTCCAAAACAAAAGAACAAAGAAAACTAATTTGGATTAGAATCACTTTAAATTTCATAGCAACATTTCAAGCCTATTTTAACTATTATTTTTATGTAATAAGCAAAGGAAATCAAAGAGAAAAGATTGTCTAGTTTTGGAAGTAAACTCTTTTTCTAAAGAAATTTACCGTAGCTATTTGAAGATACATTTTGACGCATGAAAGCGATTATCAAACATTCCACTTAATTATGAGTATATAGAATGAAGACTAAAATCTTCGTTCATTGTTTCAGGTTTCTTCCAAAAAGACAATCTTTTCTACGAAGAATGAAAAAGGAAGTTCTGCGATTCAAACCGGTCGGCTAGAGCTCATAGAATGAATCCACGGAATTCATCAGCGTCTCATAGAATGATGATTCTGCAAGAGTGATTAGTATTACATTATTTCAAGCCGGAGTGATGAATAACAAGTGAACTAATAACTGTATCTTTACTTAAGCTTTCTATTAAATTCACCGGATCTTTTATTAATCGTAACATACTGATCATGTGATTACCATACATTGCATAAAATTGTTGAGGCTTTTGGATGAGTATGCATCATTTTTCTTCTGTTTTTAAAGATATCAGAAATGTGATTCTGGAGAGAGCGCAAACGTGTGATTTATGATACGACTAGATTAAGGTAAAATATTGCATTATTAATAAAATAAATCATGTTTATTTAAACTTAACGCATTTTCCTAATGGTGTCAAGAATAATTAATTAGTCATATTTTTTTTTCATATCTGCTAAGTAGCTATGATATTTTATTTCTACCTTTAATTTAAATGCTTTTAACTAAATGTTATCTGCTATTATCATATAATTACACTTCATTCTATATAATAAGTTTGTAAAAGAATGCTTTTATGTTACCGTATGTGATATAAATTTGGTTACTTACACTATATTTAACATCTGTGCCATTATTTATTTCACTATTTACATTATTCTTTTTATTTTCTAACTTTGCTCTCGTTTTAAACTTGTGATTGCATAGAATTAATGTGTGGATTTGACTAACTTGCTTCTAACTATCGCATCTGGCACTAATAATTAGTACAGGTTCTGTGCTATATTATTTACCATTACCCTTTTAATAGTCTGTAACTGTATTATTTGTTATATTATCAACTCTCAGATTTTATGGTATTAAGAGTATCTTGCGCTTATAATTGCGTTAAAAGGCACGTGCACTGGTAATATATAACAACAGTCATTTCCTTTATCTGAGTATATCTATCCATATACAATATATGTGCAGTATCCCCTTATGTTTTGCTTGTGTATGTCTTGTTCAGCTGTATATATCGTGTCCTGCAGTGCCTTAACAGTTACAGTAGTGCTTGTTTTTTCCCCAGAACGCCCAACATCATACTTAATTCCGTTATATATTTTAGTTTTGTATCTTGTGGATGTTTTTAAATTTTAATACTTGTGTAATGGAATTCACAACTGGGAATCTTCATTCTACGGAATTATACTAGTACATTCATTACAGTATTATTCACAAGGTATGGTACAGAAGCAAATATTCGTTGTGCTGCAGTGTACAAGTGCATCTTTGTTCCATTTCCTTTTTTAATGGCATCTACTTCTAATCTAACTTTGCTTAGAACTTTCAACTCGTGCAAAAGCATATAGCTAACTTTCGCTGGTATAGCATCACAATTTCCGTATGGCTCAGTTGTTAGAATTTAGCAGGAGACGAATTTCGGACTGAATCCATTTCACGGTGTCGTTTAACTGTCATTTCACCGAATAAATTTTTCAAATAACATCAGAGAAAACCTATATCGTACATATATTTTTGATAAGACGGAATATAAAACATATTTAGCTTTGTAATAATGTATTTATTAGATTTGTTGTTTTTGTTGTTGTGACCTGTCTCACAGTAACATCAGAAAAAGCCCACGAAATTGAACGTGGCAGGGAATGCAAGATTGTTCCGATCGTTGGCAAGAACTTTGAGCACCATGCAGGTGACAGTACGACTTTGCTCAGTTCCGCCCCCAACTTGGATAGAGACAATCTGGAGGGGACGGGTCCGAAGGTCTCCCACCCCTCTTCTCCTATCACCAATCTCTCGAGAGAACTTCCGGCTCGCAGCATATTTAGATTGTCCCCATGCCACACAGACATTATATATTTACAAGCATCCATACCTTCTCCGGCATTCGAACCTGAGCCCATCGGTATGGCAATCAGAGTCACTAAGCACTATCCCTCTTGGGCGACATTTGCCAGATTTACATATGACTAGCTAACTGATATGTATTCCTATTGTTAAAATGAGCATGCCTATTCCTATAATAATAAAATTTTTCAATAATGAGAAGGTAGTCAGGATCAAATTTCAAATGAATGGGCAACGAAATTAGGAAGAAATGTGCAATTAATATCTCATCCATAGAAGAAATCCTTTACTGTTATTTTTGCAATCACATATTTTTAAATTAAATTCTGACAGCGTATGCACTGGTCCTCAGGCCTCCATATGTAGCTTCTAAATATACAAAGACGATCCATTCATCTTCAAATTGCAATATACAACGAACTGTTTTGGGATAAAACCTTACTACCTATTTATAAAATATCTCGTACTTACAAGCTAAAAGCATCACAGTATTTTCAAGTTCTGGTCACTCAAAACAGTGTTATTGTTGGAATGATAAGACATAGATTGTCCATGATAGAAACTGTGACAGACGTAGGCTATGAAAAAGAACAGTAACAGTCGATAACAGAAAGTTTTAGAACAAATCAGTTAAGTTTTATACATGTAAAATATTATAATAGACCATTCGATTCATCGACTGGTTGTAAAAAATAAAACTTAAAAATAGCAGAGAAGGCATTATATGCCATAGCATTAAGTAATGAGTGTTCCTATGCCTTCTAAAGCAACTTGATACGAATAATGTTACTTTTTATACTTAAAATCTTTCACTGCACATTTTTTTTTTTGTGTATCTCAGACAGCAATAAACATTTTTACCGATGTAGAAGAAGGTCCTGGGGACTACAGTAACATTCAAAATTTAATTAAGAAACGTTTATAATTATTCTGATTACTTACCAGTAAAACCCAAATGCTACAATGCGTTTGCCACGCCTGTTAGGTGCTAAAAAACTATCCGCAGTAGATGAGAGGGCCTTGTGAGTTACACAGTAGAGAAAATGAATAATTACAGTAGAGAAAATGAATAATTAAAATTTCCAGTCCCTTCTGGTTGTAATTAACAGTTGGTACAAATGCACTTTTCTTATTACGATTTGCATAGCTACAAGTTTTGATAACACGAAGAAAGACGCTTTACAATACTTCATTGTGAAGCCTCTTGTAGCATCTGGGCTGTCGTCTGAAGATATCAGTCATTTAAGGAATACATTTTCCACTTACCCCCAATTTCTCTCATTAAAGTCGCATGGAATACTATAGATCTGTTTATTACAAAACTCGGGCAGTCACATGCAGCTGTTATTTCAAGAATGGCTGGTGTTACACTGGCATTAAAGTTGTATTAACCATTATTTTCTTATTAAGTTAATTTTTTTGTTGCAATGTCGTATTACTCGCAACATCTTGCATTGTAAACTGACATTCATAATACACGTTTCGCATTTCACGGTCATGATGTTTCATATTTGTGTCGATTCGTTCATGTCCACGATATTTTACATTTGGGTCTATTTCTTCAAGTGCATCACATTTTGTATCCATTGCTATTCACTCATCTGCATCATGTATGAAAACTATTCATTAGCAAGATAAATGCAAAAGTAACTCAATTATTATATGCACAGTGTTTTTCTATATATGTTATATCTATTGCGCAACTTGATATTTAAGATATGTTTGAACGATAACACTTTGCTTGAATTTGCATAATTTAGTATGCATTTACGTGCAGTTATTTGCGTCTTTTTAACATAGTTCGAGTATACAAATATGCAACTTTACATGTAGAATTTAATCTGCTAAGTTTGCAGCAACAAATAAAATTTTTTGAAACATATAGGTGATCAAAATTATGCTTCTGGATATTGTTGTTCTCTTAGATGTATTTAATGAAAATACATATGGAATTAACTATGTTTTACGTTGGTATTTATCTTTGAGGTTCGTTTCATTCCAGAATAGTCCGACTTCACGATGTTTTCATGATTTTTCCCGTAAGTGATACGTATACGAGGTAGCTTCCCTTAAAATATGCTTCACGTAGGCAACTATCCCATAATTATCCTTTAATATATTGTCGAAACTAAACAATTACTCACAGAACGACTTCATGTTAAAAGATAATCTTAATTATAAAAGACACAAACGAATCCATTTATATTAATTCATGGTTATGAATATACGTAGATTGTTCTAACAGGAGACAATTTATTTTCAGAGCAAGTAATCTTCAACAGTCTATATTGACTTCGTCGCAGATTGTTGGAGAAAAGCTCTAACTAAATTAAATCTGCACTAAAAAATTTAATTCCTAAACTAAGCATTTAATTAGATTCTCCAAACAAAACATTTGGGCTTGAGCAGGCAATAAGATTAATTTTCTTTTTCTGAATTAAAATAATTTCGTAATATATTGAATTCTGATTAAAGTTACAGACTTGGTTTAGCGTTGCACATTTAAAACTAAAGAATATTGAAAATAATTTAACTACCAAAGTTTTATTGCTCTTTAGACAAAGCTACTTCTTACCCCATTCGTTTCTTTCTTGCAAGAATTCTGCTACTCAGAATAATTTACTTACGCATATTGTAATAATGAATGACCTCAAGGGAGTTATTGAAGTCTGGAGTAATTTAAAAGCAGTAAATTGTATTTTAGTCGCCAAATATGTGACAACTTTAGAGAAATAAAATTCAGAATCATAATTCGAATTCTGTTGTTTTATAAACCGCTAGAGAATGTGGAGCGGTTTTGAAAGACAGGAAATGTGCATAGCGGCGCACTGAAAAGAAAGCAAAATGTTTCTAATGCAAATCGAAAACAGCTGCAAATGACTAGGCAAGAAGTTCATCGTTTGAGACACAATCCGATAATTAAATTTTGGTTTCTCCTGAATTAAATTTGCATTCGGCGGCATTTGTATTGAAGTACATCATACGTTTGGACCATACAGATTACGAGAAATTTGTAGGTACCCTTTTGTATCTAAGTTTTAAATTAGAAATGCTCGTTCGATAATTTAACTTGATTTCGCCGTAACTGTTGCTTAGTTTTCGCATTGCTGTTGGCACAATAGATACAAATGCGCATCAGCAACAAGCTGAATTTATTTATCTAGGAATGTTCTTTGAAGTTTTTTGAACTGAAAGCGTTTGATTCGGTAGAAGAAAGGAAATCTTAGGGAGCCATTGATGGATATCTTAAAAGCGTATGGTATTAGTCTTGAGCATAATTAACTTATAATGAGTTTCAACTGAATACGATTTAAATGGTAAGCAGACGTGTTTAGCTAAAGGTGAAACGATTTACATAAAAGTTTAAGATAATAAAACATTTTGGTTTATAAAATTCTTTCTGTGATTCATACAAAACTTTCGTGTAAATTTTCATTCATTTTCTACATTTTGTGGTTGATTTCTCAAATTTATTATAGAAGTTTCTTCTTATTACTTCTAT